TTTCCCTGGAAGAAGGATGCCAACAAGCCCACTTAAGGGAGAGTGACCCGCGTGTACATGCAAATTCGGGACGAGTACCAGTCGCCGTCTCGAGTCGATCAATCATGCGCTTCACGTAGTGGTATTCGTCGTCGGGATCGCCGGCCGGGCCGGATCCATCTTATCGAATTCAGTGCATCCTTCTCGGGTTCGAACGGCACATTTCGATAAAGGCTCTGGCTTCATTCCAACGATTTTCTCTCCGCTCGCCAATATAAGTCGTTCTCGGTTCGCTGCTATTCTTCTCTTCGTCCTATTTCGCCGCTCATTTCGAATCCTTCTCGAATCGAGCTTTGTAAGAATCGTATTTACCGAAGATCGTCCTGCGTTATTTAAAAGAGAATTATTCGGTTATGAAATGAATGCGATTGAATTACATTGCATTAAACTCGTTGCCCGTTTGAAATTAATTAGTCAGCGATTTAAATTACACGCTGATTGCAAATAAGCTTTCCATAAATCCATCGTGCGGCTAATTGAACAAAACACATGAAACTTATACACGATACGGTACATACATAATTATGATACGGTTTGCGTTATTGAAATAAAATTGATACATTATAGCACGAACGTAAAACTTCAATTATTAAAAAAATAATAAATGTATAAATGTATTTATTTATATTTTGGAGTGTTGAGATATTTGTAGCATTTTATAAAAACTTTTTTATCACTCGAAAAAGATTCGAAACAAATTTTTTATTGAGTTTTTCCCTTCGTCAGAGCGAAGAAATGGCTCGCCCTGCCGTAGCCCGAGCGAGAAGGCCCGTCGACCGTACGCCCCCGCTTTGGAGAAAACGCGGCTGGGTGGGTCCGGCGGCAGCGTGGATTCCCGATCGGGTAGCGCGAGCCCGGATCGGGGCTCAGCTAACCGGGGGGGTGGTTTTCTGCATCGCGGCGGCAGCGACCGTTCCAGCGTGGAGCGGCTCCGGATATCGACTAACCGCGACTCCCTGCGATCCAGCAAGGAGATGAACGACCACGACCAGAAGGACGCCGATAAGGATCTGGTGGACGGCGACGCGCGTGGCGACGAGGACAATGAACCGCCTGGACCGGCACCGGGTAGCAGACCGTCGTCCCCGGCTAATTCCCTCGGTGGGTAGTCCGACCTTTAATTAATGGCGCCGATTATTAATCGATCCATCTTTTTTTCGCATTTCGATAGTATTGAGTAGAAATGCGGGGATTATCTCGGGTCATCCATTGAGTTATCTACTGAGAACACAGGTGCTTCGGTTCTCGTTATATCATTCCGGAAATACATGATCCATTATAAAAATTTTTTCGCAATCTATTTTATAAGAGAAGAATAAATTAAATATTCGTATTAATTATAAATTTATATATAGAAGAAAATTATTCTCTCTCTTGAGTAATATATTTTCTTCGGTGTTTAGGAATTGGCGATCCGGTGGTGGCGTCCAGACTTTCCAACATTCACGGCGGCGGGCACACAGAATTGGCCAGCGCCAGAAGATTGCGACTGGAGAACGAACGGCTGGTGGCCGAGGTCGCGAGGTTGAGGAGGTTGTTGCTGAGCGGCGCGGCGCGTGGCGAAGTCGGCGCCGAGGACGCCGTGATGGAGGAGGAGGCCCGCTTCGTCGCTCTGGAAATGGAACTGCAACACGCGAAGGAAGCGCTGCAGGCGTTGAAGACTGACCGGAAGCGTCTCAAAGCGGAGAAGTTTGATTTACTCAATCAGATGAAGGCGCTCTACGGTACCCTCGAGGACAAGGAACGCGAACTTCGCGATTTTATACGAAATTACGAACAGGTGAGTCTCAGCGGATAACGTGTAATACTCTTCGTATGTGGTCTGTTGAATACTTTTTTTTATTTTAATAACACGTAATCGTTATATCCGGCGTCGGAAAATATCGTAGAGAATGATGATGATAGCGAAAAAATGATGGCGAATAATAATAATCTCTTACGAGATGATCAAGCAATCGTTTCGTTCCCTTAGACGATTTAAATGCGGAGCTTAATATATCTTCGAAGAAAGATATATGTTTGAACAAAATAGAAATCAATTCTTTCTTTCGTGTAAGATAGTTATAACTTTCGATTTATACGAGAAGGTTCCGATGGAATCGTGTTAGAAGATATTGGAAAGATTCCATAATTCTTTCAAGCTCTGACAAAAATGTTCTGGAATTGGTTTTCTATCCGTTGATAACAATCGACGGCGTCTCTATCTCTCTCTCTCTCTCTCTCTCTCTCTCTCTCTCTCTGAAAATTATTCGGGGGAAGTCACGTTCGAGAATTTTAATCGTGACATTTTTGCATTCCACGAACAAGGGAGCAGTAAACAGTCGAGAAGTAACTCTAATGCCTCTCCGCTCGCAATTTGCATGTTTCATATAGAAGGATCGATTTTCGATAGGGGCTGCGGTGATGAATTAAGGAAAGGCGATGGCTATGAAACCGAGAAAAATACGACGCCGTACTTGATATTTATGAACGTTCAACTATCAAAATTGCCTCGACGTCGCTATAATTTCCTCTCTCTTTCTAACTCGTCCTTTTACCACTATTGTAAAAAGAATTGTGCGAAAAAAAGAAATTTGATATAACGTAAGAAAAAGAGATTATATACGAAAGATATGTAATTAAATTGTTTGAACAACAATTTAATTATTACGATATCCGCTTTAGGATGGCTTACCTTTATGGGTTTTATAATTCCGGCAGTGCTTGAAATAGCATTAGCGAGAGAGAAAGAAAGAGAGAGAGCGGCTACTTTTTTTTCCAGGGTAATATATTAATTGCCGCCAGCATAAAGGGACGACGCTACATCGAGCGTGTGTCTTTAGCATTTATAAATATCCTTTGATATCATTTTGTGCCGTCGCTGTGCATTTCCACAACCTTTAGCATCTAGCGATATCCACTAGCGATACTGTAATGATTTCTAATTTTGAGTTTTTAAATCTCAACGAAAGACGATAAAGATGAAATTGTATCGATAACATTAGAAAAGATAGAGGGAGGGAAAAATAAAGAGGAATTTAATCTCGCCCGTTTCGTTATCCTAACTAGGTAGGTCGCTCGAGAAAATGCGACACGACTTGACGCAGGATGAACGTTTAACTATTAAAGCGTAACAAAATCCTCTGCTCGCGCGCTAAAGCGTCCAGCTAATGAAAATTGAGAGCAACGCGAGAACGAGCGACTAACGAAACCGCTCCGCGGCGGGTTTTAATTTCGCCTCTAATGCGTCTTTATGAAGCGACGCGGAAATATCGAGAGAATGAAAGAGAGAGAGAGAGAAAAGAGCGAGAGGTAGCTTCACCGTTGTGTGAAAATCTAGTTAAAAAACTTTTATATACAATCGGTACCGCTCCAGGCAGTTAATCAGTAATTAGCTTGTTACTTGAAACTTTATTAAACCACGAGCGGCAGAAAAACGTCGTTTACAGATGCCTGCATTGTCAAACGTATATTGAACTTGAAAAAAATATATTATGGAGAAGAGAATTTATAGAAAAGGATACAAATATATATACGCGACGAGAAAGAGAGAGAGAGAGAGGAACAGAAAAGCTATCAACGATTGAAGTTGAAGTCACGCTCGACGGTTGCTCGACCACCGGTTTCAATCTTCTCATGCGCGCATGTCGAGTTGGCAAGCGGAGTCGGTACACGACGGCAATTTTGTCCGTTAAATACTTTCATTAAATTTGCCGGAATTTCTCATTTTGCCGAGACCGTTATGACCGAGTCGCGTGGGGACGCGGTCATTTCAACTCCGTTAAACGAACAACGGCATCCGCCAGCACCGACGAACGTCACCGGTCTCTCCGTGCACCAGGTCCATTGGACGCATAATCTTTCAATTTCGTTGCTTTAAAAAAAAAAAACGCATGTATAATCTGCAGAGAGTTTAAGGTCGACAAAACGATATCAGATATCGAATTTAGCCTCGAGCTAAATTCGAGATTTTTTCCCGGGGATGAGAAACACGAGGATAGTGAAACTCGTGGATGAAATGTCATTAGCGCTGGAGGAGACTCGAGGACCGACTTCGAGAGCGCATCGTGTATCAAGATTGCCCCTCCCCCGGTATAACGGGACCGTTTGGTCTTAAGCCAATGTGTAACGATGTGCCGAGACAGAGAGAGATAATGTGGCGAGCTTTTGTCGCTACTGATTGTTATCAACCCCGGAACAAAGACGCGGTGCAGCCTCGGTTCTCGAAAGACCCGAGAGCGATATTCCCGAAAGGTCTACGTAAAACGGCGCACTCACACAGACGTGGATTATTAAGCACTTGAAAATACCCGGCCACACACACGCACACACAAAAGCGCTTTGCCTTTAATGAAGTTATTTTGGCGAAATGAAAATGAGAATATTAAATTGAAAAATAAATTCAAAGACATCCGCACGAGATTTAATTTGACGACAAAAAATAATTAAATTAAAAAAAAATTAATTTTAATTATATAATTAATTATAAAATAAATTTTAAGTATGTCAAGCACACACATATATTTTACAAAAATCTGGAAATTATTTACGGAAATAAAATAAAAAAGGATTTTATTAATAGTATATGATGAGAATTTTTAGATAATTTTTGAAAAGTAATTAGAGGATACAATAAGATGAAAGAACAAGCAATCTCCCTCTCTTTCTGTCTTTTACTTGATTGGAAATTTATGATAGCAATCATTTCGCGAAAATGCCTTTTTGATGGTATGTATTTATGAGATAGTATGATTTCGCGCACGTAAAATGTTGAGAATAATTAATATTTATTGTATTATCTCCGGATGATGTTGCTGTGCGAAGATCAAAAGAACCACCATAATGCTAGCCGCGGTAATGTTATTGATGTTTTAATAAAAGTATTATTACTCTGCGCGCATGATATCGACGGAGCAACCAGCAATTAATTATTAAGATTCTCCGCTTTTGTGACGTAGGCTTAGTATTCTTTAACGCGAATATTAAAAATGCAATCTTATAAAAACTTATAACGCGAAATATAAACTTGTGGTTGAAAATGCTGTAACGAACAAAAAGAACACCACATTATTATAAAGAAAATTAGTACGCGAGAAGAATCGCACGACTACGCGATTGTTACACGCAAAAAATATTACATGAAATATTTAATAAAATTTTCTTTAAATATATATTTCTTAATAAAATTTTTAAAGAAAAAAAAGAATTTCATATATAATATATTGTCATATGAACCATTTTCATTGGTATTATACATACATTTTAAACACTTTGCATAAATATTTAAAACATTCCATATATTATATATTTTGCATATAATACATATATTTACCATACTAATTACCATAGTGTTTATTCTATCAAACTAAGGACAATGTTTTCCATTTGACACACAGTTTGATCTCGCGAAAGTGGAAATTTCGCTGCTACTTATTTGTCTAACAGAATGACTTCGTTACTTAGAGAAAGGTTCCTGATGAAAATATCAGACTAAACGTCACCGACAGCAGCGGTGTACGCAAGCGCTGTAAGTTTCCTCTCATGTCGCTCTTGTCATACCGAAAAAAATGTACGCGTCGCCTCCGGTTTTACGATAGTTTTCTCTCCGTAAAGCGCGCGCCCGTCAATTTTCTTTTATCTCCCTTTCTTCTTCATTTACACTCGTTCTTTCTTTCTTTTTGCGTAATCCACTTTATCTCTCTCGTGAGTGTCGACATATTACTGAGCCTGGTACACAGACGCGTCTTATAATTTTCTATTCCACGTTGTTTTCAATTTTCTCCACGAGAACACGGCGTTCTCGAGCAGAAGAAGCATTTTTTCCATTATTTAATTTCTCGAGATAACATAATATCTTCGCAATTGCTTATAATTATTTCTGAAATAACTGACAAACTCTTCCAACTTTTTGTCCAGTTTTATAATTTAATCAATTTAATTAATTAATGTAATCCTCTTCAAATTTTTGTTTCACGAATTTGTTGCACAAAGAATAATATAGTATATAAAATTTATTTATTTTTTTAATAAATTATCCTCGATTTACATTAAATTTCATATTGTCTTGAATTTGACACGTGTCATTCAATACGGAGGAAATTTTGACCGATGTAGATATGCGTGAATAAATCTATATTTTCGCGTGCCATCTTCTTTAATCTTCTCGCCTTTGTTCGGTTTCGCGAGTCTTGACATGCTTTCCGGTCCTTCCTGTTTATCATCCAATGTCATACCCCGACGATGCGCTTATGAAACGCTGATGGAATTACGTCCTCGCTGCGCTGAAGCTTCCAAACTACTTAGGTTTTTTTCTTGCAACGCTCTGCCACGGAAAATTGTAGACATTATCCGCACATTTATATACAGTAGCCCGCTTTCAAGGAATTTAATATGCTTGATTGCTTTATGAATGTTTATGAACACAACGATCGCGCTGAAAAATTTTAATAGAAAAGAACTCTGTGCGCGTGTACAAGATGGTAATAAAAAAAAATTCCTCGAATTCTTCTTATAATTTCTATGAAGTTTACAAAATGCTCACTCTTGTATTATTCTCTGAAATAATTTATCAGCGGTATATACTCTATCTGTAGGATAAATCTACCGTAAGTAAGATGAATTAGTATGGTGTGAGAGAGAAAGAGTAAAATCTCGGGGAAACTTCCGGTGTCTTTCGCGTAAATGATGTCGTACTTTCCTCGTCGCAATTATAACAAACTTTGCTCCAGGCGATATAGACGCAATAGTTTTTGAGGCTGAAGCTACGACGTGCTAACAACCGACGCCCGAGTGATTCGCACCGCCTGTAATAACCGTGTTGCCGCAAAGTTTAGCCGATAAACCTTGCTGCAACACCTGTTATACATACGACAGAGTTACTTGCGCTCGAGGAAGAGATAAGTAGATTAACTTTGCCGTAGAGTCGATATCGTCGACGGAGTGGCTAATGGTCGATGGTAAACGTCACGTTTATTCGCGTACTAAAATATAATCGAGTTAACTGCCTTAATCGCGGAAAACGCATCCCTGTGTTCTCGTCGTGATTCTCCCGTTTATTTAATGAACTTTGACCGTAGAATTTCACTTGAGAATCTTTCACGCGACATAAAGAAATTGAGAATATATTTATATTCTCAACGCAAAAAAGGTATTATTAGCTTCATTTTCAACATAATATCTATGACAGAAAATCAAAATAATTTTCTTGTTCATGTCCAGTTTCGTAAAAAATATACTTTATCATTGGATGAAAATAATTTGCGCCGCGCTCATCCTCGATTATTCCACTTAACCGCGCGTAGTTACATCCGTGTATTAATTATGCTTGCAACGTGAGACGGAATTATCAGCGGAGGACGTCAAATCGTGCATGTCACGTGCGTATCGAATATGCGGATCTCGAGTGTCGTTCCGTCTGTTGTTCACTCCGGGCGACACGCTTGAGATAAGCAATGACTGCGCGAAACAGTTTCGCGAACGGCGGGCTGACAATTTCGCGAATATCAGCTGAATATTTGTTCTCGAATTCAGTTTGATTTCCAGCGGCTATTTGCTCTCACCGCCATTATTAGTTTGCCCCCTGTGTCGACAAAATCATCGTCCCGTCAGTGCGCGGCTCAAGTTATTTCTCGTCGTATAAATATCGATTATTATATCCCCGCGCGCGCAATCCGCCCCGAGCCCGTAATTAATTATTAATTCCGCAAACGCATTACAATGTTGATTTTACAACGTCGAAATTAACATTGTTAAACATAGTACTAAAAGTACTGACAGTATTAAAATATAATTATTTTTCGACGACGAAGATATAGATATTTTTTTCTTCGGAGCGATTAAATTTTCGACGTGTATCGCGAGACGGAGGAGAAAGTTACAAGGATCGAAATCGCGGTTTGCCCAGTTTGCCCTTGATCGCCTGTGCTCCTCGCGATTTTCGGAACACGCGCATGCCACGGGTAGATGGTGAAGGTTTTGTGGGAGGAGTTACTGCCCGGACATGGTCCTTTTGACCGTTGATTGCAGCGGATGCGGGAGAACGAGGCGACCCTGGGACGTCTTCAGCAGCAAGGAGCCGGCATACCGTCGGAGGAACGCGAACGGGAGAGGGAGAGGGAACGCTGGAGTCTTTTAAGGGCGGCGAGAGACGAGGCCGATCGAAGCCTGAGCCTCGCGGCTAGTTTGGCCGACAAAGAGGCCGCCCTCTCGCACGCACACGCGACCATAAAAGAGGTGAGTCCTGCTTGTCGAACGTATAATTCTGGATCGAGTTTAATATCGATGGGGTTCGGCTTGGCAAATTCGAGAAAAAGATCGATGACCGCAGATGGGGAGAGAGAGAAATTACAATATATAAAAATTGTAAAAAAGTTAAACATTTCTCGTGCGTAATTTAACAGATCACAAATTTAAATAATTATTTGGTATCTATTCGAGAAAAAAATGATATAACATGGTCAGATGTAAATATACATAATTAGTTATGAAAAAATCCAATAACATATGTAATTTTTTATATAATCATATGTAATAATATCCGAAATTTGACACGATATGATCTTATCTTTATATAATTATATTCAGGGGATTCACATTTCGAAATATATTTCTGCATTAATACAGCTACAACGTCAGCTGGCGGAACGCGGCGGCGGCGGCGGGATCTGTCTGAGCGATCAGGAGTCCCTGGTGTCGTTTCCACGTGGCAGCGTAAACGGCGCCGCGACTCCCGGCGCCGGGAGTAGCAGCGGCGGTGGCGGCGGCGGTGGTAGCGGAGGCTGCGGCATCATTCCCCACGTGAATTCGCAGCCTCCGTTGGGCATCACCGAACTCGGCGTGTCCGTGGGTAACGCGGGCGTCGGCGTGGGTGCCGGAGGATCCTCCGGCGGCCAGGCCGGCGATCGCGGCAGCTGCAGCGCTGACAGCGGGGTCCGCGGGTCCAGCGATCGCGAGAGCGGCGGTGCAACCAGCGTCGGCGGGAATCTCTCGGACTCCACGACGGACGGTGAGTTTTGACAGCGTTTGAACACTGCTTTGGTTTTTCTTCTTTTCTTTTAGCTCTTCGCACGAAACAAAAGAGATATATACTTAGATATTAAAGGGGCAAAGGGGGAGAGAATTGTGCAAGAAAAGGGAGAATTTTAAAACGAACCAACTACATGTCTCCCGTAAATTGTTTGCGCGATGAGCGCCTACGCTTAAGCGCGGAATTGCCCTTTTCTCTTGCAGCATTATACGAAATGAGTCGAGTTAATTAATTTTTTTTCTCGCTAAAATCTTTCTTTATGATTAAAATTTTTTTAAGTATAAGCTGCGCGCGTGTGTGCCGTGCATTAACGTATCTTTTCATAAACCTGTTCGGGAGAGAGAAGGAGAGATTTCGTTTTTAATAATAAGAGTATTTAGGTTTCTTATCTATCTACGTTTATGTTGCAGCGATTATACGAGATGAGTCGTCTCGACTATAATTTTTTAGATTTCGTAGAAATCTCTTTCTCTGATTAAAATTTCTTTAAGCTGTGTGTGTGTATGTGTTATGCATTAATATTACGTCAATGTATCTTTTCGTGAATCTATTCGAAAGATTTTGTTTCTAATATTTCTAATAAGAGTAAGCTTTTTATATATCTACATTCATATTAAAGTTTAATTTTGATCTCAGTTTTAATTAAAATAAATATAACACTCTTGTAGCATTATATAATATCGAAATACGAAGCGACGTAGTCACTGATTTCATAATAGAATCCGTCCCCAAAGACGCGACGCACCAAAAAAAAAAAAAAAAAAAAAAAAAAATTCGAAGAAGTATGTAGATCTATCTCTAACGTTACTATTAATCACAATCGTAGTGACACCCGCTTAGGAGATAATGACTCCGGCGTTTAGGTGCAACGAGCTCCGAGATTAATCGTCTAGTTAGAGGGGATTGCAGTGCACATCCGGCTAAGTACCGGTTTGAAAAATAGTCTGGCGTCCGTCAGCCGCGAATGTTAATCGAACGTAGGTGGTGGCGGTCTAATCGAGCACGCTTCCTTCATGTATTATTCAGCCAATCGCCGTGCCGTTGCATCAAAACGGTTTGATCGATTGGGTTCCTCGGGCAAACATTCGCGGTCGCTAAAGAGCGCGCGGGGGCTCGACGCGCGTGCATGATTTTCGCGAAAGCACGAAAGGATGTACCTCGGACACGCACAGGAGAACGCTCAAGTTTCAGGATTATCTAAAATCTTATCGTGTTACGTTATCAAGTTAAATATTTGCGCAGGATATTGCTCTATTACTTTGTTTTTCAACGTTTCTCACGAGAGAAGGGGAGTGCGCTTGAGAATAACAAGAGAGGATTGATGATATAATCGTATAAATAGACTCCTACATTATACAATTATGATTAACTTAATTTAATTTAATTTAAGAATATATGTAATATATATCGTTATAAAATTAACCAATAATAATTAATCAAAGGAGAGAAAGAGAAAAGTTTCATAATTTTATGTAAAACGATAGTGAGAGTTCTCTTTCGAATTTTTCACGCAGCTAGTAATATACCGTGAAATTAAAAGTTAATTAGTCAATTAAACATTATTCCATATGCGCGCGCGAAATTATCAATTAAAACTTTTTCTATTAACCGGATGGAAATTCTCGCTAACGACCGCGTCCGTCATCTCGCGACGAAAAAGTCACGGGCGTCAAATTACTTTGCACCTTCCAACGTCGCGACATGTCCGCCGTTCCACTTTCAGTGGCGAACTCGCATTATCCCCGGTAAGGGCGACGCGCGACATAAAGAACACAAGCTCGCCGACACCAGCGTGTGAGACCTCGAGGAAAGCTCGTTCTTGACAGCCCCCAGGGAAAGCAAAGGCCTCCGACGGGGGCCCCATCGACACATCCCCGCACTCTTCCTCCCTTCACTCGAAATTGATGTCCTTTATATATTTCCGCGCAGGCACGCCGACAATTACGGTCGAGGGCAGCGGTCTCGACATGGACAGCATCTCCGTGGTATCCTCCATAGCACCACCCCATATATACCAATGTAAGTGTCCAAGAGCATAAATCATCTGATCGTCGTCGTCGTCGTCACGTTACCCCTGTCACTCTCTCTCTCTCTCTCTTTCGCGCTCTATCCCGGCTTCCATCTCGTCGTGCCCTCCCTAATCGACGACCTATGCTGCTTCTCTATGTGCGTCTATTTTCCCCATATATACCAATGTAAGTGTCCAAGAGCATAAATCATCTGATCGTCGTCGTCGTCACGTTACCCCTGTCACTCTCTCTCTCTCTCTTTCGCGCTCTATCCCGGCTTCCATCTCGTCGTGCCCTCCCTAATCGACGACCTATGCTGCTTCTCTATGTGCGTCTATTTTCTCTTTCCCGATACCCTCCGTCTTCTATCGTCAACGATCGCAGGGTGGCCGGTTCAGTCGTTATCGATCGAGCGCGCAGGATTAACGATTAATCGTTAAAATTATTTGACACGATAATCGTACATCGCGTTAAAGCATTTCTATCGTCGTATGCTTCTCTCTCCCGTAAAAATCTTCGAAAATCACGACGACTCGAAAGATCGATCGCTATCGAATTCCGGTCACCCTGTAGTCATTTATCTCTTGGTATGTGTGTTCGTAAGGTATGCGTGCGCCTTAAATACGGTGAACGGTGGTTTCGAAAGGGATCGAGGGCACTCGGCGAATAAATCATCGTTCTTCTCGGTGCGTAAGGAGCCTAAACCGGTGCCGAGAGGGTCCCCCGAGGATGTGTCCTCGATACATAAGCCCTGCCTGCTACACGGCTCGAATGCATGCGCATGCACGTATCGCAAACCTGACAGATGACAAGAACGAGCTATGCCCACGAGAAGGACCTTTTTTGCACTCGAACTCGGATCGCTGCACGACGCGCTATGTGTTCTTTATGTGACTTGCATCGATTACCTTTCGCTATGTCATTAAACAGAATAATAGCTCGAGACATATAAGACTTTGCCGACATGCCGAAATGATCTTTAACATAAAAGAAATAGCGATATGTTTAAATAGACTAAATGATAAATAAATAATTGATGGCTTTTGCGTCAATGATCTCCGATTTAATTTTAATAACATCTTTAATGATATTAATGCCAATTAATTAGTTCTCTTTCTGCCATATGTGCATCTCTTTTAATATTTTTTCCTTAAATATTAATTTTCTCTCTAACGTGACATATTATAATTAAGTAACTCGCGTAGCATAATTCATCGACGGTTCTCCATTTATTAATACGAGTGGGGCTTTCGCATTTATATCCTTCGCATATCTCGTTACATTTCTATGCAATCTACCTCTCTATCCATTTATTTTCTGTTTTCGTCCCGAGAAAATTGTTCTCGAAAAAAAAAAAAAAAATGATACGACGCTCAATCGAGTTTCGTGCTTTCAGCTGCGACCACGCCGAAAGATTGCAGCCCCACGTTGTCGCCGCTGAACGCATTCTCAAGGTCCATGGACAATTCTTCGCTATCACGATCGGTCGAGCAGCTATCCAGCCCGCTGGAATCCGAGCCGAGGAGGAACAAACAGCCGCCACCTGTCGTCGCACCTGCCGCGCATTCGAGATCGTCCGCCACTCGCGGCGGCACATGGGGATCCATTTCAAGGTAAGGAGGTCGCCCCGTTATGTACGTTCAAGGATTTTTCCATCGCGCGACATGGAGTCGAAAATATCTCGAAAATGACATAAATTTATAATTTCGAAAAAAAAAAAATATGTATATATATATTATCCTTTATCGATGCTAATTATATATTAATTGAGCGATACATCGATTACATTTAGCTCGTTACGCAAACATTTAATTGCAATTATCGGAGAAATGCGGAGACGGTAACTGCGTGATAAGCGATGCATTTTGCATGTAAACGCGAGCTAAACTGTTCTGTCGCAGCGAATATAATTGACGCGTGACACAAAACGAGCGGTCGCGATAAATTACTCTGGCGGAAAAAAAAGCGAAAGATTTCCACGACGACATCGCGTTGCGGAATTAAATGGAATGGTTTTTCAAGAGCGCACGACAAGTTTATTGATTTTTGCAAACACGCGCTCGTCTGTAACAGAGCTGCCGCTCTGTTCGACGATTTTTGTACTTTGACGACTCGTAGAACGTTACTTCAACAGAGTACGCGATTACACCACGCAAGTCTCTCATTCAGTTAGTCAGTTTCCTAGCAGTGTGTTACAAATAAGTGAAATGAGTTCGTAACACGATAAAAGGGAAACTGCAACTCTGTACAACGACGTTGGAGAAAGATCGATGTAGATTCGCGACGTGTAGAAATAACAAAGACTGCTGATGCAGAAACAATAGAATCCTTTGAAACGGAACGCCTCTTCGGATGCAGAGGAAACATATTGATTTTTCACATCTGGAAACTACAGCCGATATTGTGAAGCTTTCATCCCTGTGTCAGGTTCGCGAGATGATTTTACCTTAAATGATGGATGGATTGGCTCTTTAACTATAAAACGGGTATCGCTCTGATATAGAAATCTCTTAAACCTCTATTATTCCGCCGAATTGGCGAAAGCGACATTAGATTTATCTTCACCAGAAGAAACTAATCTCCTGTTTTCAGTCAGATTTGAAATCAATCAGAATTTTGACATGAAAATGTATTTATTCTAAATCTAAATCGAATTCTATTGTTTCATCATATAATATTTAATTTTATATAATATTAATTATAATTTATTAAAATTTATTCTTTTTTTATCATATAATATTTCTGACAGAGTACACCTGATTAATGACGTATTATCTCGACACATTAAAATAAACAGAAAATTATGCATCTCGCGAGAGGAGGTCACAAGCAGTAGAAGAGAAAGAGAAATTTATGTTATGTAATAGATATTAGCAAAGTACACAAAAGGAATGATATTCCGTTTGAATATCGATATATGTATATGGATCGGTGTTTTCTCTTTTGACAGAGTGTTCGCCCGTTCGCGACATCGGAAGACGGCAAACAGTACCAGTGCTGGAAGCGGCGGCAACGAGGCTGCGGACGGCTTTGATCCATATCGATCGTGGTCACCGCTCACCGAGGAGGGTTACGCCGAAAAACTTCGTTTGCTCCGTGAAGCGGCCTCCGTGCCCATGGAACGATGGCGAGCTCCGACCGTTTTAGCCTGGTTAGAGGTGGCTCTCGGGATGCCGCAATACGGACCACGATGCGCCGAGAATGTGAAATCGGGCAAGGTAAAGGATTTGTCGATTCGTCCTGTTCCACCAGCGAGCTTTTAAGCAGTTTAACCTGTTGATACGAATGCGGAGAGTCTCCTGGAATCGAGCTTACTACTATTAATCTCAATCGCATGTTAAACATATATCTTTTGTACGCAAAGATCTTCTTTCGAGATTTTGTTATCTCAATGACAAACCGCATAATTCCGATCGAAGCACTCATGATTGGTTGACCACTACTTGCAGGTTCTACTCGAGCTAAGCGATGCCGAGCTAGAGGCTGGTTTAGGTGTAACGCATCCGCTTCATCGGAAGAAGCTGCGTCTGGCCATCGAGGAACATCGGCATCCGAGCCACGTTCGGTATCCCTGCATCGCCCAGCTTGGTCATACTTGGGTCAGTTCCGAGTGGCTGCCGGATCTCGGTCTGGCCCAGTACTCGGAGAGTTTTGCCACCAACATGGTGGATGCGCGTATGCTGGACCATCTGAGCAAGAAGGAGCTCGAGAAGCTGCTCGGAGTCACGAGGAAGTTTCATCAGGCGAGCATCGTTCACGGTATTCATCTGCTGCGTATGCTGAATTACGATCGACAGGTGAGCGAGAATTATAGCAAGCATTATATGATCTCATTAAGCCACAGACGATCGCTTTGAAATCGATACTCTGCGAGGATTAATCAAACGACGTAATTGCGCGGCTAAGTAATACCGTTAAAGAGATGACGTCACGCTTTTGTGTGACAGGCGCTCGCTGTCAGGAGACATCAATGCGAGCAGGTTGACACGGATCCTTTGGTCTGGACGAATCAAAGGTTCATTCGGTGGGCGAGGAATATCGATCTCACGGAATACGCCGAGAATTTGAAAGGTGAATTTTGCGTGACAAGCGATTCTATATTCTTAAAAATCTTTCAACCTTGCATATTATAATTTCTCTTATCGTAAAGAAAGTTTTTTACTTCTACATGATTTTTTATCGTAATAATTATTGAGCGGCATATATCTATATTTTAAAAATAAAAATACGCGCGAATGAGAGAACCGACCTTTCACTTTTAATCTCGATAACACTTCGACGAACTGTCGAAATTGTATTTACGATGAAAAAAAAAAGCTATCTTCTCCGCAGACTCGGGTGTACACGGTGCTCTGGTTGTATTGGAGCCGTCGTTCACCGGCGACACCATGGCCACCGCGTTGGGCATACCGCCGGCCAAACACATGATTAGACGGCACCTAACCGCCGAATTGGAAGCGCTCGTTCTGCCAGCAAGGTACTCAGTCTACTGTCATCCAGAAGCAACACTGGACAACGCTCACTAATCGACATGACGTCGCTGTTCTCGTCGTCAACGAGACCGACGTCTCCCCGGAACATTAATCCGCGTTTGGGCGTTCCACGTCTCGAGAAGGAGCCTCCTTAGAGCGCCTCGGAAATTCGATGTTAGTCTCGAGATCCTCTCGAAGTCACTCGAATATGCCTTCAATCTACTTTCACCGCGCTTTACGTGTCAAATAAGAACCAGATACGCGCTCTCTCTAAACAGCTTGTGTCAAGTCACGCAATAAAACGAGCGTGCCTTTTAAGGCTACGGGAAACGAAAGGAGGATGCCTCTCTTTCTTTGAAATAAAAAGACTTATCGGGCTAGTATATTGCGAGAAGCATCGCTTATTGCTAAAATTTCTTGTATGAAAAATTTATCCCTCGATAAAAAATAAATATCGCTGCCTTGTAGCTAATCGCGCATTGGTTAAAAAAAAAGATAGCAAGGAGACGAACTTTCGATCAAACGTGGGAGATTTCGATAGCTAGATAAAGGACAATAAAATGGAATTGAGCTTTTTTTACGTTCGTCGCATAAAGGCGCTCTTTCGAGGCTCCATTTCTCGAGACGGAGAACGTGACAGGAAGGAATAAGGACCGTGTGTCGCTTTACTCTTCATCCCTCGATCGGCTCGTGCCATATGTCGAACGAAGTCGAATCGTATTCTCCAAACGGAAGTAGCAGGTGCAAGTTATAAAGCAACGAACGACACGTCACGCCGGACTCCGCGTCCAAGTCCACGTACGATGACCAAAGTTGAATCGTCGAATTACATCGCGGATCGTAATAAATACTCGATCGCGATATTCGTCTTCGATCTTTACAGCGATCGAGGCAGCAGAGACTTTTGCTAGAGCATCGTCAATTATTTATTTATTTATAGAAGTGCTTTGTGCGCGCGGACAAAATAGTCGATATAGTGTTTTCCCTTTTTTTTTCCTCCGAGACTCTCTCTGAAGTATTCTCGAGAAACTTTCGCGTTTAATCGCCGCGCCGTAAAATTTCCGAACGAGCCGACGCGCGGAATCCTCACCTCTTTGCCGCAAACGATCGATACTCGCGTCGTAAAATAACGTTAGCCCGAAGAGAAAGAGTTGTTACTGTATAGTCGCTGGTAATGGATAGACAGCTACTTTTTCCAGAATTTCTACGAATAAAGTTAGAGATACCGTGTAAGAGACGCGTATTCGTCAACTTCCGCAGAAAGTTTTCGTAATCGACGGAACATAATTTAACGTATTGCTAGGAAATGTCGAGGGGAAAGTTGTAAATATCCCGAGGATCGGTTCGGAAACGAAGGATATGAAGAGGGAGTGCAATTTTCATCTAGATTTTACGTCACCTTCTTTTTTGAATCGCACTACGAGGATATTTATTTCAAATCTTATAGTTCCAGTAGATGAGTTCTCGTTCGTATTGAATGGATGTCGAGTGGCGCTTCAGGATTTCGCGCGCTAACGATCTCAATCTCCACGAACTGAAATATATACGAATAATTGAAATTAAGCTGAAACGTGAACTCCCTTGACATATCGAAATTATAAATAGAGCCGAGAACGCGCGCGCTCGCTCGCTCGACGATCATCTCGATCGCGATCGATCGCGCGAGCGCCGCTAATCACTCGTAGTCTTAATACACACGCCATACCTTGAATATTATCGGGCATACACACACGTAAATACAGTATACAGTATACAGTCGACATATAATGTACATATACAAACATGCGCGATTATGAAACCACCCAGTGGAAACGTGCCGGCCTCGGTACTCTATTGTCGGAGTTACCCGGGGCACAGTCGCAGCGCGCGATTCTCTGGGTCTGCAAGTCGCACTCGGTCGCGGATCCACCGGTAATGTTTCTCTAATAGCTGAGCCGTAGCCCACAGCTGCCGCCTGCACTGCACTGCGCTATGTACAGCACACGTTAATCTTAGTGAACGTGGTGTAATCCTTGGTCAGATATCAGTGCACTCCCTTCTGAACCCCCTGAAAGACACATAGAAAGCGTCTTCTATTGTTAAAGAAACCCTTATTGCATTTTTCTAGCTATTAAATAAATCATCCTGGTGATTGCCCCCACCTCTTATTGTTAGCTTCCCTCCCCATTCCCTCGTCAATTATTAATAATGCGTAAGAATTGTTTTGTTTTTCCTTATCATCTTACGCAGTTCCCCGAATGTTTCTCTGGCCAGGAATCACACCACCAGTTGCATATTATATGATTCCTTTTATCTTTTTCTGATTTGCAAACTTTGATATTTACATATATCTTTGATTGTTCGATGTTTACTCTCGTTGACTGGTTAGCGAGGCTGGAAATGCGTCCCGGTTGGTCTCGACGAGACCATCCCCGGCGTATTTAGCAGCCCAGTAAACATTATACATTATATTCTATATCGGTGGTGCACAAAATGCTTGTGTATGTATATTTATGTTGTATAACTAGATATTCATTTATGAGATATATAGATTCTATCGTTCTATATCGTCGGAGACACCTGCAGCGAGCCACTATCGATAATATCTAATCGGTTATCGAAGATATCGCGGAGAAATTTACAGAACACAAAAAAATACTCTTAATCAACCGAGTATATTCGAGAATCGAAAAAAAATATATGTTCCGCGTGTCGAAAAAAAAAATGCAAAACAAAAATATACACTTCTCCGAGGATTCGATTCGAGAAGAAGGGTATGATAATTCAGAGAGCGGTCGAGGGACGTTCGTGGACGCGTGTGTACGCGCAAGAAGGCGTGCATGAAAAGTGGTGGTGTGCGTGTGTGCGTAGAAGTCAGCTGGAGGTGGTCCCGAGGAACAGCACCGGCGGTGGCGGCCGTCCGATGAGCACCGCGAGCGCGGGCGGTAGTCTTGGTCGCGGCAGCAGGGCCCTGCATCTACAGCATCATCAGAGCTCGTTGTCGGCCCTTCACATGACGGCGAATCACACCGGCACCGTCGACAGACGCAGATCCAGCCTCAGGGTAATGTACTAACGTTTAGATTCAACGAGAGCCTCCCTGGTCATCCGCGTCAGAATGCCTCGATGCCGCTCCCCCGTTTCGCCTGTCTATGCACTCTTCCTGATTCTTTCCAGTCTGTCGTGAAAGATGTCATTTATTACGAGCTAATTGGGTTGTTAGAAAGAATCATTTTTAAATAGCTTTGTGAACGTTTTTCCTGAATTCGATACATTTGGATGATCTTTAATACGCTTCATGCTTTTCTTCCTTTCTTATTATATATAAAAAAATTTACATTGTATTATATATATTAAATTATGTATGTAGCGGAAATTAAATATCGTATAATTGAGTTTTAAGAGCTGGAAGGAAATAAGGATCGAGTGCGAGATACATCATTTGGAGAGTTTTCTCTCGGCGAATTGCTTCCTTAAAAGCCTATGCTTTAATCATGATCATTGCATCCTAGAAAAATTTATATTTTGAGACATGATATCTGTGTGACGGTCTTAATCCTTTCTTATCATTGGGATTATACTAATGGATTTGTTTCTCTCTTTCTCTCATTCAATTTTTAATGGAAATGAGAATGGTACACATTCTTCTGGCTGAATAATTTTACCCTTCTTTACATTGTGTGTATGTGATAAATAAATATTTGATATTTATTTTAAAAAAGATATATATAGGATGTTCTGTAATATTTAGAGTCCACTTCAGGAATTGATTTAGCACTTAAAACAATAAAAAAATTTATGTAAACATATGTCCCATTGTTTTTAAGAGCTACATTAATTTCTAAAGTAGGTTTCATATATTACGAAAAATTCTATATATAAATTATTAAAAAAGCAACCATCATTTTCTGCGATGAATTATTTTCTCGACATATGTTAATTCAGTAAACTGTGTAATTAATATAATGTAATTGAATGTAATTAATTGATAATCGATTGTACAGCACAGACAAACATTATCATTATAAGCATTTCATTTTAAATGCAACTGCATTGCGGAGCCATTTCTCTCGCCTCATTTTCGCATTCACTTTCGCGCATTTCATCTGTGCGATTTATCAGCTCTTTATTTTTATTAATTATTAGCACGATTGCATGGCATTGCTTAGTTAAAGACGCTCGCATAACGCTACAGCGTAATCTTTTCCCATAATATCTGTAATTGACTTTCGTCGAACAAAAAATGAACGATTATTCCGGATGATAATTCCAAATTGGCTTTACATCTATTAAATTTATTAAAAGGTAGAACAGAATAACAAATATGTATTTTATGTTAAAAAAATTTTTTATGATTATATATATAATTAATATTATCATATTTTATTTTTAGTACATTGAATAAAGCATATCTTTTTGTCTTATATATATGTATATGTTTACAATATATAATGCTCTTCATGTAATAAACAAATAAGTAAATAAGAGTAAAGAATATTAATGTTCAATATATTTACAATATATTTTTTATTCAAAAAAATCTTCTCTACTCAATTTGCTATATGAAAGAAAATTCCTCGTTTAGATAAACCGTCAAAATTTTATATGACGAGAGTCAATGACAGAATTTCACGCTGTGAGCTATGAGCTCAACCTAATGTTAATCATTGTCCCTGCATCCTGTGGATCATCGCAGACCTGCAGTCTTCTTTACTTGAAAAAGGTTCGGTATTTATATACATATATATACATATCCATTGTTTCTCTTTCTCTCAAATTCTTTGTACATTGTTCCATTATGCCATAGAAACCCTATTACGGAGTCGCTGCATCGTTGTAGTCGAATAAACTCAGCACGTTTTCGCAAGGTCCTTAATTAATCAGTAAACCGAAATTAAGTCTAACGTGATTATTGATTTTTAAATTATTCCAATCTGAATTTTAATTTGTTTACTTTTATTACTTGGTCGTTTTCCAAATTTGCGGAAGACTTTGCGAAAACGGTCTTTGCGACAAGTGAGCAAGCAATCGATCGTATCTAATTTTTAGTTCTATTATAATCAATTTCTTTACATGATATAATTTCGGAGAAAAATTGTTTTACGATGAAATTCTTAAATGATTTTGTAAAATATTCATATTTATGTATCAAATCGAATGTATCGACAATCAGATTATGAAATGATTTCGATCGATCGCGAACTCGTGTCCCGTATTCTTTTCTAGAAAAGTAAAGTAGGAAGCCCTATAATCGGTATGACAAATGTATCGGCATCGTGGAGCGACAAAGCATTTTCTCGTGAACGCTTCCTCGCTCGAGAGACAAGATCTTCGATCTCAGCGAAGCGAGAAAGTCGGGGGAAAGGGAATATTTTTTTCGATTAACGCGACTAATTGATCAGCTGTTTGTTTGACGTAACGCTTCGCTGAGATTCGGGCGATTCCTATGGATCTCGACGTCGATCGTACAAACCTGGAAAATGCGAGCAAAGGAGTAATCGTGAAAAGGAAAAGTCTGGCGTGTACAGTAAGGGTGAGGCTTCGGGATAATTGAGAAACTTTCGTTGTCGGTCTATTCGATCGCGTGTGCGAATACCGATCCAAGGTCATCCGCATTGAATTAACGATAGAGAATCCGCTTGCAAGGTAAAAGAGAAAAAGACTGATGGAGTACGAGCCTAAACCTTGCAGTCCGGCAATTATAGAGAACGCAACGGATCGCGAAGGAACACATTTTCTCCTTGTATCTATTATCATCTAATAATATACCTCTTTTCCGTCTTTATAACCCAATCAGATTGCCAGACAATCTGCCGCACTGAGAAAAGGAAGTATACTCGCGCGGAGAAAAACGGGTTTATATCTCTCTCTCTATGTGTGATTCTCTATTTAAAATAAATTTTTACAATCTAAGCTTGTGTGTATGCGCGTTGAAAAACGTAACGGAAATAATTGTGTATATTTTTTATTTGCTCGTAGAAATATTTTATTTACTCTGCAAAATTGTTTGGGAAAATAAATTTGTCGAATTAATCCGTTTGATAATTAAAGCGCAAATTTTTATCTGCCGTATAGAAATTAATACGATAAATAAATTAAAGGTATCAGGGGAAGTGGGCGGGGGAGGTGAGACTAATAGATTAATGAAATATTCAGAAGTCGATCGATCATTCCCGGGTGTAGCCGCGGTGAAATTGCGCATTATCTAATCCCGCGATTATACACGCCCATTCTCGGTGCTAAGTACACCGACGTACGCGTTATGCCACATTGTAAACACTGTATATAACGAGCATATACATTAGCCTAACACGTATCCTCCTCATGTATGTAACCAGAGTGTCCCGTGTCTTAAGGTATACCTTTATAGCGAGTAGCGGTTTAAATTATGCAATTACGCAGCTCGATTTACCAGTAGCCAGACGTTCCGTATTATTTATAGCGGGCCATATTATTTATGATTACCGAGGGGCACCGCGGTGCCCCGCGATCGCCCGTCGTAATCGATTGTGTAAATATAAAGTGGCGATTTCAATGTGGAAAATTAACAACGTGTGGATTTCTTAATCGACCTTATTTCGTCCTTTTGCTAGTTGTCGTGGAGAAGCTCACAGGTATGCGTATCATTAATACAGTCGTAAATTCGTATCTATCTCCCATGTAGTGTATCCCTCTCTCGTAGAAGTATCCCTCACTGCAATCCCGCTCATGCACCGTATCATTTGAAAGTTATCGCGATCAGGATGGGCCTGCCGATGCTTGCTGAGGAGTAACGAAACGAAAACGAAGGACTTTCTTTTCTTGTCGTAATACGTCGTGCTTCCATTCACGCAAAAATCACTTTATTAACCAGCGAATCCTGAATCGTGCCTTACATTCGTTGATCCTCGCATTTCAGCCAAAGATTCAGGGAAATTTAGATAACGAATTTAATTACTTTTGTGCAAACATCACAAACATGCGATAAGAAATCGTATTATTAGATAAATTAACAGAGTGCTGAAAAAATTATAGGTATTAAAATTTATATTTAATACAAAAACAACAAGAATTTATTAGCTATCTGACAGTTCAAGTCGCTATCTAAATTTCTAGGCACTCCGTAGCGCCTTTTCACTCTCAACTCGATAATTCCCAAGCAACGCAAAAATTCAAAAGACATGTAAGAGACATTTAAAAATATTTCAATTTTTTAGTTGCTCTTTTTTTTTTTAGAAAAAAAAAAATCTTTAGAAAGTCGTTTAAGTTTTCGCGTTGTCCGAACCAGTTTTATCGGCACTTGGGCATCTCCCGGTCGCTCGTTTGCTCGTAGCTTCGACCCCTCTAGAAAGTCGAGATCCACTTAAGCCTGAACGTATCAATGAATTTCACCGTCTGAACATACGGCGCCTTTTCACAGGGATCCCTGAGCAGAGCCTTCGGTCTCCGGCCTAGAAGCGAGAAGGCATCACCATCGTCATCTTCGGACACCGGCAGCCTCGCCAGCCAGTGCCAATATATGAGCAGCAGCGTCCGCAGCACCTCGCCGCCGCCACCGCAGCTTCCACCGCGGCCGATGACGACCGGCGGTGGCGGTGGCAAACGGCATCGTCGCGTCAAGAGCATCGGCGACATCGAGTACATAAGCACGGCCGCGGTGAGCACCCCGGTCTGACAGGAGGGTAGGCCCCATTACGCGGGGCCTTACCGCAGTCTGAGCGAACGCGGTTACTCGTCCTCCTCGTCCCAGTACTCGGGCTCGTACTCGGGCTACAGCAACGTCCTGACTGGTGGCGAGCAGCAGCCGTATCAGCAATACCAGCAGCAGTCAGGCGGCAATTATTATCACCAGTTACAGGGTGGCTATTACTCGCCGCAGAGTTCCGGGCCGCCCTTTCCGGGGGTGCAGAGATACGGCAGTTTGGCAGAAGAGGCATGGTCGTCGTGCTCCGCCAAGGGAGACGCGGGTGTCTCGAAAGCCAATCCGAGGACTTACTTGGCTTAGCTAGTCGCCGCGACGTTCAAATCTCGTTGAACGAATGGGTGTGACACGACCGGCACATCTGATGAATTATCTATGAAAAAGAGTGCACACCTTGATCTTTTTTGAGGATTTAAATTTTGTTTGTCTTTTATCTCTTTTGTTAACGATAACTCCATATGAATAGCTTACGGAGAAAAAAAGCAGCAAGGTAATATATTTATTGGAGCTAAATGCTTAATGAATCTCACTATATCAGACGCAGGCTGTATATGACTCAAAAAGATGATTATCGACAAGCTATTGAGAATGTATTAAATGTAAGATTCAGATGTTTCATGTTTCGGACGTAAGAATGCTTCATCGAGGTGACCTGATCGAATTTACAATAAATTTGATAAAAGGATCGATGCCTGATCCCGATATCCTCGGCTAATCATTATTGTTACACTGAATCAAAATAATTAAATAATCTTGTTATGTGACGTGACAACTGTAATAGACAATATGTTAACTGGATTGAAACAAAAGTACGAGCGATTTCGGACATTTTACGAGATACGATTATATCCGGGATGATATTCTAATGGATGAGTAAATTAACCGCAGTTATTTTAGAATTATTCACGATTACAGAATAATTATATGTCGTACAAATACCAGGTAGCATATCGTGACGTTAAGAGGTATGAAAGGAGATCTGACCAAATTTTATTAACACATCGAGACATTTATTGATACATACCGACATATATATACCGACGATATATAACGAGGAAATAAATAGAATAAAGAATATACATATAATTATATATGGCCGTAGATAGGATTAAAAAATAAGCGAATCAACAATTTAATTTATTTAAACTATACTGCGATGACAATATCTCGCAAACGTTTCGTCGGAGCAATTTTTTTATTTTTATTATCGCGAATGACAAACTCTCTATACGCCGATATTTAATTTAGATCGTAAATTTATTCTTACGTGTAAGCTAGCGCGAAAAAATCGTCGAAGAATATTTTTGCTTATGAATCGATCTTTATGAACGAACGAATAATTTTAAAAGTTTTAACATGGCTGAAAATGATGCCAACGACACAAAGTAATATCTTTTTCGTATCCCTCATATATGGTATACACGTTTACGTGTACGTTTATATATTACTTTCTATGGATATCTACATGAGTTTCCTACGACCATTTAAACTGGAAATTTTATCAAAGCTGGAAGCGACACATTCACTCACGTCATACTAAATACTCGTGTTAGAAACTAAGAACAACATAAAATCGCATCTCACGAAGACATCTAAGTCTTCCATCATAGTCCGCGGCTTGATAAGATCGAATATATTCCATTCTTCGTTATCCATGTATCGAAAAGAAGAATCGGAAAATTCAATTAATGTTGCAAAAAATTCTTTTTCTATTACACAAGAATCCTTGAAATTCTATGAAAAAAAGACTTATCGGTAAAAGTTTGACAAAAACTTACACCTCATAGATCACTTTGTGTCATATATAAAAAATAAAGTGATCCGTGAGGTGTGTAAGCTTTTGTCAACTTTTAGCGACTTATTCTCCAAATGATTAAACGGATAATTTTTGATTATATATTTATGATATAATTAATCGACTATCGCAATGTGTGAGCATCGGTAGAAGAAAAACATAAACGAAGCGAGTTGTACGCGATGCAATTTAATTAATCTAACGATAAGTGCCAGAAAAAGATATCGAGAGTGCGTTGTAATTTGGCGTACTGCCAAAATGTACGCTTGGCCCATGTGTTGTATCATTATATTAATACGTACAATCTCCTACCCCAATCTTCTACCCTTCTCCCAGTGTTCATAAAAGTCGCAAAAAAGAGACGATATTTTGCAGATAATACGCATATTTATCGTGATATTTATTCGTAGATTATAATTATTTCCTAATAATACCTGTATGCGCGACCCGCGTTTGGTCGTCAGATTATTTGATTCTACGTCAATCACACTGACGGAGAGAATGATCAGGACCATATGATATGATATATTTTATATTGCCAGACTAGTATTATCGCTGTTTCGCGAGGCAGAAATGGTGAATTAATACGCTAATTATCTCGTGACATTCTCGTGTGTGTATCTAAGTAAAATCTATGTATATATAAATTAATTTAGGTCTAATTTATTTGTATACACAATATATATATATATTCTACATGCGCGACGCGACCAATACCTCGCGACACACAATTTCGAGCGTTCGCTTATATGTATATTGGTTGCGAATCACGCGCGCGACCACAGATTTCAATGCAAACCGTTGTAAATGTGCTCAGTAACGTCTGTATATATTTGTGTGAACTGTATCTAAACATTTGGGAAAAAGATTAAATAAATCATTGCCTTTACTTCCGCGTGGCACATCTTTCTGCGAAATAATCTTCTCAATTTCTGTCTGATACTTATTTTTTTTACTTTTTTATTTTTTCTATTGAACTTATTATAACATTGTTAGTGAAGATAGAACATATTTTTTAATAATATCCTCTGACATATTATCTATACATATATAAACATATAGCAAAATAATCTTAATATTAAATATATATATATAACATATTAATTTTGTGAATAAAATCTTATAATTTTTCTCTATTTAGAGTCTTAGTTATATATAGATATCTCCGAAAACGAAGAAAATCTCCATTAATATTAATATTCATGACGAGAGAGTATACAGATGAGAGGATAAAAGGTATATAATTTCGAGAGCATTCAATTTAATAACATAAACATATAATAACGTAAACATTTAAATTAAAATCATGAGATGTTATTATCCCAATATGCATATACGAGAGTTATTTCAAACATGCACATTCACCATGTTTAAATAAATATTTTAATTTAATAAGCTACTTATATTTTAACATCTAGCAGAATGATAAAATACGCTTATATATGATATCCAAATTTATAATTAGAATGCTTAATATTAAATTAAATGTTTTCGCAATTTCATATATATTTTTTTTATTTTCTCTTCTGTATTTATTACATTGTCATAAATATTAATTAATATTTTCCTTGTCTACAGAGATATCTGCAAGTAAGACTTAAGATTTATTTTAAATAACACATACAAAACGTTATATATTATATAAAGGTATTTTAAATAAAAAATAATTTATATTTAAATTTATATTTTAATTTACAGATGGTATTTTTAAATTTTGTAGAAAAACTGAAATTTTAATTTTAAAATTTTAGCTAATAAGATGAAAAGGAAAATGGCCAAAATTTAGATAACAAGAAAGTTCCGCAACAGACCATGAATATGATTAACAAATGCAAAATTCCTTCTATGAGTAATAAAACGGCTGTAGGGATTATTGAAAACAGTTTTCATGTAATGCAGAAAAACTGAAATTTTAAAATTAAAATTGAAAAATTAAAAATGAAAATTTTAATTTTAAAATTTCAATTTTTTTGCGTTACATTAAAACTTTTTTTTAATAGCCACTGCAGCTATTTTATCACTCATAGAATGAATTATACATTCGTTATTCACATTTATAATCTGCTGCGGATTTTCCTTGTTATCTCGTATTTTTGTCATTGTTTTTTGTTTTGTTATTTCTTTTTATTAGCTGAAATTTGTAAATTACAATTACATGCAAAGACTTTTGTTCAAAAATATTCTTATATTCGATTCGCACTTCTCCACGCGCATTGCACGATAAGTACTTCTGCTGTATCTGACAGTTTATCTGACGGTTGATATTTCTGACGTATTTCAGCGCTGCATCACGCGATGTAGATGGGATCTACGATATATCTCGTGAAAACTTTTTATATGTTTTTTTTATAATCCAACGCCTTGAACTTCTAAGCAATTTTATTTTCAAACCTTCACTTAACTTCGTTCCTTGAGAGATCTTTTGTCTTTTATTCCGCTAGAGACAGGAGTTTCGATTAAATCAGTATTATATGGAACCCATTTAAGCGTCTCATTTTGATCTTCCATTGTCTTTGCGATCAGAGTAGAGAAAGAACTAGCAACAGAACTATCAGTTGTATTATCTGTTCTTCTTTCAATAAGATTATGCTCGCTTATCTCAGGAACTTTTAGTCTTTCAAGTTCGAAACTATCTATCTTCTGTAATAAAACTTGCGAATTTTGACTAATTTCCAAATCCGACTGTTTTTTTAAGGTGAGGTTATTGCCAGCATCACGTGCCGATGATCTTCTTCTTAAACTTTGCCTCGACTCTTCAGATTTTTCAAATAATCTAGATTAAATGAAGATGTTAGATTTTTTGCATACATTTCTTTCTTGTTTTCGAGACAATATATAAAGATATTTCTAATGGTAAAATTTTCATGTTGTTTAACATTAATTTTTTTGTCGAATTTATTTACTGTTATCACAAAAAATTTAATTTTTTGGTTTATCAGAGTTTTTGATGTAACACTTGCAAATCAATAAAATCAAGATTTTTATCACGATGATTTTTATGCGACAACAAAGAAAGAAAGAGAAAATTGCGCAGAAAATTCGATATCTTCTTCATTTAATCCACTATATTTAAACAATGCTGAAAATGATATATATATATATAGTAATTGTTGTAAAATTATACTAACTGGAATGGCATTCTTTGTTGAATTATCGCGTGCGGACATATTATTTTCATTTGTGAGATTATCTTCTACGCACACTTCTCCAAATAAGGATACACGGACGATAGGGAGTTCAGCGGGAGGATTAAACTTGTGATTAAGTGGAGCAAATGATTTCCGCTTATTGATATCGATACAATCATCATTTGCAGGAGCCTTCTCCGCGTTCAAAATTTTAGCCGCTTTCTGTTTCTCGATATTCGCTCTTCTCTTCTCTGTGGCTTTTGTAATCCCCTTTTGATTACTAGATTTCTTCTGCGCTTGTACAATTGTTTTCTTTTTTGTAATCATAACTGAATTGTTAGTAGTCGTTACCGGAGAATAAAAATTATGACGAACAATTCCGACGATAAAAGGAGGCTTTTTCTGCGATTCTTGCTGCTTCTTTTTTTTCTCTCGCTCCACTTTCCACTCTAATAACTTTTTTTTATTTTCATCTGTAATATTAATATGTACAATAATTAAGTTGTATACGTATATTATATATGTACACACACACACACACACACACACACACACACACACACACACACACACACAATGATTGTTACGCAATATTGATTATTTTTAAATCAAAATGTTTTTTACTTAATCAAATAATTAGCAATATTTTATTGACAAAAATAATTAACAGCGTAACAATCGTATTATATCGCATCGACTTACCTTTCTGCGAACTCGTAGAAGAATACGACGATGATTTGTCTCGCTCCACTTTCCACTCTAATAACTTTCTTTTACTTTTATCTGTAATATTAATATATACAATAATTAAGTTATATATTATATATGTATACACTTATATGTATGTATATACATTATATTATAT